TCAATGCAAAAGTCCTTTTCGGCAGCTTTCTTTCTCAAGTGGGTTGTCACCAAGGCTACCCCAGCGCTAGGGCTTGAGACTCCCCGCATGTCCCATCCGCTTCACAAATCAATAAAGGATTTTTTTGTAGACTAGGCTTACCACGTCAAAGATGGTAAACGACAGCAGCAAGATGGGACTTTGCACGCATGCCCTGGCTGGGTGCTGTGTGAACTCCCACAGGAAAGAGACCCCAAGATCTAAATATGCAATATACTCCGATCACTGCAAAAAGGCAGGAAGCCTTCGCTTTGAAAGCTCTTAGCAAAAGCAGCTGTGGGAATAAAGACATCCGTGTGTGTGTGTGTCGAAAATCAAGTGCATTGCTTTGCGGGCTGTCCGAAAGTCTTGAAGGCACGATTGTTGCACCAACGGCTTTCCTTTCAGTTAAGACAACCACACAGCTACTGATCAAAGTTGTCCAGTGTTTTACCAGACATCCAGAGCTGAGAAACGGCTTGAACAAGCCTAGTCAAAGAGTCTCTGTACTGCAACGCACTTAGTGTCCGATGTTCTTCAAGAGTGCACTCGACGTCACCGCCCATGAAATCAACCTGACGTCAGTTCGGGCTTCAAAAAATGCAACTGTTTGCATTTTTATAAATGATTGAAGGCAAAGGCAACGACAAACATAACCAAAAGGCAGCGTGGAAAGCCACTCCAAACTCAGGCAGCGGGCGTAAAGGGTAGCGGCCCTCAATGGCAAGCCCATTTTCGGGCACTTGAAGCCCCCAAAGGATAGGATGTGCTTTTTCGTCTTTCTGGTGAGCACGCCCACGCGCACCTTGCCCCAGTATACGGAGAAGCTGTAGCAGCTAAACGTAGGCACATTGATGGGAGTGATCTCGTCGTCCAAAGCTGAGTAGAGCTGGTGAGCAATGTGCCACCGGTGCTCGTCGTTTCTCGCCGCCGTCAGCACGTCCACTGCCCCTCTAGACATCTCCGGCAAGACTTGGTTCGCGCGCTGCTCGTGCTGCGTCTGCTGTTGCTGAGTCTCCGCGTTGTTCGTGTCCTGCTGGTTCTCCTGCATCGTGCCCGGGTTGTTCTCCTGGTTGTTCGTGCCCGAGTTGTTCTCCTGCACCGTGCGCGGGTTGTTGTCCTGGTTGTTCATGCCAGGGTTGTTCTCCTGGTTGTTCGTGCCTGCGTTGTTCTCCTGCGCCGTGCCCGGGTTGTTGTCCTGGTTGTTCTCCTGGTTCGTGACCGGGTTGTTCCCCTGCGTGTTCGTGCCTGGGTTGTCGTCGTGGTTGTTCGTGCCCGGGCTGTTCTCCTGGCTGTTCGCGCCCGTGTTGTTCTCCTGGTCCGTGTTCTTCTCCTGGCTGTTCGTGCCCTGGTTGTCCTCCTGGCCATTCGTGCCCTGGTTCTCCTGGTCCGTCCCCGGGTTGTTCTTGTGGTTGTCCGCGCCTGTGTTCTTTTTCTGGTTCGCACCGGTGTTGTTGTCCTGGTTGTTCTGCTCGTTTGCGTCCTGGGTCTTCCTTTTTTTTCCTCGCAGCGCCGGCTGAGCCTTTGCCTTTGCCTGCTTGCTGGGCTTCCTCTTCTCGGACGTATCTTTGTCTTCCGTTTGCCCCCCGGTTTTCTGCTTCTTGAGCTCCTCGGCCTTGTTCGCATTGCCTTCCTCAGGTTCCACCTTCCGCTTCCTTTGTCGCTTCTCTTGCTTTTGCTCCTCAGGCTTGACCTTCTTGGTTTCTTGGGGCAGCACGTTGCTGCCTTGCTTGTCCTTCTCTTCCTCGTTGTTGACTGCGGGTTCCTCAGCAGCTGCTGTTCCTCCTTCTGCTGACTTCTGCTTGCTTTTCCTGCTCTTGCTGCTACTTGCCTCCTCCTTTGGCTCACCACCATCGCACAGCTTGCCACCATCACTCAGCTCGCCGCCCTGCTCGCTACGTCCTCGTCCTTTACCGCGCCCCCTACCACGTCCCCTGCCGCGTCCCTTAGCTGGTAGCCCGCTCTCATCCTTCTGCAGGTCTTCCTTTTCCTTCTCTGCCTTCTCCAGACCACCTAGCTGCTGACGTCGAGTCAGAACCTGCGGGAGAACTACGCGCGCGCGTGGTCTTTTACAGCTGGTTGATGTGTGAAGCCTGGGGTTTCTTGCACAAGCAGGTGCCGTTTGAATGAATTCGCAAGCTGTTCCCCCAGCAGACAAACAGCACTTGGTTTTTCAGGTTTTCGCCAACATCTTTGCCCGTGTGCAAATGCAGCTGTTTGAGTGGGAGCATTTTTCTTTCGCTTGGCCGTTGAACTAGCGCGTGCGCCGGGAAGAGCTCACAGAATTTTGCGCAGAATGTTAAGAGTGCTGTTTGAGGGTCAAGCAACCATTTCAAGAAGGAAGCTGCCAGGCCAAGGAGCTGGGCGGGGCTCAGGTTCGCTGACATCGGCGATCTTCTGCAGAGGCTGGCAGGGTTCGGCGAAGCGCTGGGTCTTGTTCGGAGTTGGGGTGAGGGCACAAGACATCTGTTGGCCAACTGTGACTGTCAGGTGGGAAAGGTCTGCAGGAAGTGTCCCATCCGTGTCCAACGCAAGGGGCAAAGACTCTTCCACCATGCACACATCGGGTTTTCTCTGGTTTGCCAGGATCTCGTCTTTGAGAATCTTGTCGTTCATGCTGCTTCCCATCCTGGGCAACGCTCGCAACCGTTCACTTACAATCCGAAGAACGCGCGTTGCACATTTTGTTCGGATTGGATTTTACTGCAACCCATGGCCAAACACTTTCAGAAGGTTTCAACTGCAGCAACTAAAAGTTGACACAAAGCTGGTCTTGTAGCACAGCGTCTGTTCTTCCACGAGTTTCTTTTCCATTTCCTGGATCCGTTTCTTCAACTCGTTCATGCGTTGCTCGCGTTGCTCGCGTTGCTCGCGTTGCTCGCGTTGCTCGCGGGGCTGCGGGGCTGCGGCAGGCTTGCTGGCTGGCAGCGAGTCTTCCTCATCAATGAGGCTCACAACGGGAACTGGGTTGGGCATCCGGCTCGTCTCGCTGAGCAAAGGGTCCGTTTTTTCTGGGGCATTGTCATCGTCGATCGCTGGGGTAGGGCTAGAACCAAGTGCACGGGTGAGGGTGTCCTCCATGAGCAGCTGGGCATCCCACCACTTGTCCGAGAAGTAATCCGAATCTTGTTGAGAATCATCGTCCCCTTCGTCATCGGCATCGCAGGCTGGACGGCCAGGCTGCAGGGCTTGACAAGTTTTGCAAGAGCCCAGCGCGCAACTGGTTTGGTGTAGGACATGGAAACTATACGTTATAAACTATAACAGGTTGTTCAGAAACATTCTGAACCAAACGCTTTCCCCCGTTTGAAATCACGCGGCCTGAATGTCAGGGTCCAAGATGCGCTGGAGCGCAAGAAAGTCGTCGTCCTTAGATTGGGGGGTGGTGGTGGTGGGGGGGATCCCAGCATATATGGAACTGGGCGTCCAAGGTTTTCACAAACAAACTGAAGCGCGCTGCCCTTCGTCGAATTCGGGGGTTTGGAGCAGCAAGTAAGATGCCAATCAAAACTCCAGTAGCCTTCAGGCCACTGTGAAATGTTGATTTGGGGTCCGAGGATCAATCGAGCCGAGCTTTTTGTGTGTCTTCATCTTGACGAAGCTGCAAAGGGTCTTCATTCCCCAAGCGTCCACCTTTGCGGTTTCCTTTGACTTCGGCATGTGCATGTGAATGCGGAAGACGTCAACCCTTGCAGCTGACAACTTGAAACACACACACACACACTCTTGAAACACACACAATTCGTGTTCAACATTGTTCTGGCAAAAACAGTTCAAACTCATGCGCACCTCCAACTGAAAGTCTTTACTTTAAGGCTGCAGGCAAGGTTCTCACTCACAGCAGTCTGCAAGTAAAACAACTTGTTGTTTGCTGCAGCCATTCGATCCAGGAGTGGCACAAGGACATCCTTGTTCCGGACACAGTCTTTGATCTGGCCTCGCACAGATGCCCTCCCCGGCGCTGGCTGGATGAGGCGCCCTGATTGCACCGCCGATTTTCTGACCAAGTCCTGGTTCACCCACTCACGGTACACCCCGGACAAACAGCATGGTGGTCCCCCTTCCATCCCGGATGCAACGCTACTACTGCACGAAGAACAGTCAGAGCCAAATGCTTAGGCAACCATTGCTGCAAAATTCAGCGCTGCGCCTTCAAGTGGACCCAGGGCGTGTAAAAAAAAAAACAAAGTAGCAGGCACAACTCCTTTGCACGCAGGCAGTTTGCTGCAACAATCTGCAGGCTTCCAACTAATGAACCTTCACTTCTCCTTGGGGTTTCCCTCTGTGAAAGAAGCAAAGAAGTCTTTTGCGTTTGCCGTTCAGCTCATGTAAGGCAAGGAAGTACAGCTAGGCCAAAGGGAATATAAACAAACAAGTAGAAGGGCTGTGACTCAAAGCCCTTCATGCATGGTCGCTTTCCATGAGATGGCAATCGCGATTACTCCACCACTGCGATGAGCTGGCCTGCCAGGCTCGATGCCGGTGCGCTCAAAGAACGCGGGGCACGCGGCAAAAGCGCAGCCAGCCCATGTGCGATCGCAGGTTCAGTGCCGCAGGGGCTCAACTTAGCTTTTGGTGTGGACCTTACTATATGTTCAGACCTGTGACAGCATGACGGTTCCCTTTATTTTGTTGGCTGATTGTGGATAGTGTGCAAAAAAAATGCGAGCCCCGTCAAAATCAGATGTTTGGACAATCCCCTTGATTGCCCTGCGCCCCTCCGCGAGCCAGGCGGTGTACACAAAGGTGGTCACAGGGTGTAGAACCGATCCGACCCCTCAAGCACCCAAAAACCCGGTTTTTCAACAGCAAGGGGGAAAAACCAGGTTTTGAAGAATAATGCCCTCAAAAACCAGGTTTCTCCCAAAAGACCTTCCTTTTTTATGGTTGTGAGTGCTGCTGGATACTAATCTTTAACTTTGATTTCCCTGGAGGAAGCCACCAGCAGGCTAGGCCTGGAACAAGCGCCCATTCTCCCCAAGGATTTGCAAGAAGATCCTGAAGGACGGTGATGTCCAAGTCTCCGACAAAGAGCGGGAAGTACACATGGAGAGTCTCTTCAAGGACAGGGACTCGGATGACCTGCCAATCATATATATATATATATATATATGTATATATATAGCGGCGCGCACAAACATCGACATGATCTTTCCGTGGCATCGACGAACATCGTGTTAGGGATTCGCTCGATATTTTGGTTGTGAGAATCAACTAGCTGCATTTCAGGTATTACGCTGCTAGTTGGCGGGAGAGTCGTGTGCTTGTGAGCAGTTTTGAAGCCATCGCGGAAACGGCGTAAGTGTTTGACCACGGCTTTGATTCTTCAGCCGCTCTGGAAGCCAAGCCCGACTTTGCAGGGCCATGCTGAATTGGAGCTTAGTGGGGGGTCGTTCCCAACCATCAAGGGAGGTGGCGGGTCTTGGGATTCCTTACGTTGATTTGGGTATATGAATGCCTGTGCCCCTTCTTTTGCACCTGATTGACATCCCGGATCTCTAGTGCTTCTTTCCGGCGTTGCCGTTTTTGGGTCCCCCTGGGACTTGCAACCCAAAGCCTTGGTCGAGGCTTTTTCGACGACTGGCAGGCCAAATGCAAGACACAGATCTCTGCTTATGGAACCACCGATGAATCCAGCGAGTTGCATCGTGACCCTAAGAACCGTAGGCGGAATCCCCGTTTGAAGTGGCCCAACCCTCAGCGAGGTGGCAGCTACGGCAGTCTTTGATTGCCATGCTTAACTCAGCTTCGGAGTTGGGGTGCGACAAGGAGCCAGCAGTGTAGTTTTTTTCAATCACAAAGCATCGCAATTTCTGGGGTTTCAAAATGGTGTCCTGGTTGCGACGTTTCGTGCCCTGTGTGGGCTTTCAAAGAGAAGCCAAAAGGAAAGCACCAGCGTCGCCCGATTCGGCCAGAGGACATCGTCCAAATCTTGGCGGAACGCTTGGTGCACAACGAGACAGGGCGACAGCTGACGCCCCTGGCAGTGGAGTCGGCCCTGAAGAACATTGGCTTTAGCGTGCCATTCGGCACAACAGCAAACGAAACTGCTGGAAATGGATGTGATTCGATGTGATTCTCTTTTTTTGGTTTGCCGCGCACAACCAAGGGTTGCCCAAAGGCAAACCACCACTTTGATGGCTATCCATCTAAAGACACACCAACACAGCGCTACAGCATTGTGATATCTTATTTGGACCTTCTCTTGGCGAGAGGCATCACATGCAGCATTTCAACACATGCGTGGTATCTCTCTCTCTCTCTCTCTACAGACTATGCACATTTGCACAGCGCAGATGTATTGGCCTTGCTGCATTCCAACCGGAAGAGTGCATATACTTGGCCCGGAAAACACCTTGCTGCTGCTAGGAAGTAATCAGGCTCCTTCTCCACTTTGCGATCCCGCCCTTCCCACAATATCTTCTGAGGAAAGGGTGCACACAACCAGACCCCAAAAACCCCATCCCTGTATGGTCAGGGCTTGGAAAGCCAAACAAGGACAAGCAAGGCGTGAATCTTGAGAAAGTGTTGGTTGGTGGTTCCCTAACTACAAGGTTTGGAGGTTGGGCATATGAACATGTACGTACTTGCTGTAAGGGAGATGACATTGAGAGCGCCCATATGATGTCGTATCACTGGGAACTTAGGTTGACTCACCAACATGCAATGTTAGCGTGAGCCACATGTAGCCAGGGGGACCAGCCAATCTTCCCATGCCGTCTGAAAACATTGGTCATTCCGGACATATGCTAATAGAGACCCTGAAAAGTGGTCATGACTCCCGAAATGAACCAAAGGGCCCATTGAGATTCACATGACTCCAATCCTCGAGGCAGCCGGATCAGCCCGCCAAGAAGCAGGCCTTGAAGGCACGACCGTGGGAGAATCCGCAAGCTTCGAGAGCAAAGGCGTCTTCGGATAGCGCTATCGGCATGTCCGGGAAATCGGGATGCGCGGAGCCTGAAGACCAAATAGAAATTTGGTTATGTTTTCCGCAGGAATTCTGTTTAACACCCTTCGCGATCTACTCCAGTTTTGGAGCTCCCCGAGCCATCTCCTCCATGCAGCCCGACTCCCTCATTTGTGACATCCAAGTCTCCACCCGCCTCTACCCTCTCCTCTCCAACACCGGTAGATCATCTTCCCTCTCCACCATCGGCCACCTAGTCGTCGCGATGATAAGGAGCTGCTTCTTCGTATCCTCCACATTTAGGGACCGCTCCGGTCCAAGCTGAGCACCGCTGCCAACCCGGTGCACCAACAGACCCATGGGTACAATGGGTTGAACCTTCTCATCCAGGTGCAAAATCACACCTCCAGCTGCTACTACTACTACTACCACTACTACTACTACTCCTACTCCTGCTCCTGCTCCTACTCCTACTCCTACTACTCCTCCTCCTACTCCCACTCCTACTCCTACTCCTACTCCTGCTGCTGCTTCTTTTAACTACTTCTACCACTGTTACATACTACAACTACTACTTTCATTTCAACTTTTATTATGGCCTCTGTTTCTATATTGATATTTACTGCTTGTGTGTTATCGCTCAATGCTAGCATTATCATTGCCAACATTGCCATGTTACTTCTAATGCGACGACGACTATTACTATAATTGCTCTTCGTAGTGCTCCCCCCACTATCTTTACCACTTCCACTACCAGCTTTTTCCTGCCCTTCCGATAGGGGTATTCCAGGAAGCTCCTGCGCTGGGCTTCAGCACCAAGACTCGCCTCCGGAACACCATGGAACACCTCCTCCTGTATCAAGTGAATCACTTCCGGACACCCACCATTCATCTTGATGTCCAGCCATCCATCAGGTGAAAAATCCTTCAAGCTTCGTCAAGTGATCTTTCAGTCGAGACAGTCCACACACTCATGGGTACTATGCTTTGAACCGTCTCATCCTGCTGCAAGATCACACCTCCAGCTGTCGTGTAGAGCCTCTTAGGTTGCCGTCCTTTCCTTCTGAATCGCCCCCAAAGGGCATGTGTGGCCCCTGAATGCAGCAGCCCGTGCTCTTTGTCCAACTCAATCTTGGACACCCAACTCTCTCCTTGAGCATCCCCAGCTTCCGCATCTCGTTGAGCTGCTTCTACAAGTCGTCAAGCTGCTTGTCCCGTTGGTTCTTCCTTGATGCCTTCGTCTGCACGTTCATTTACTTGTGCGTCTTTCCGCCTGCTCCTAGCCATCTCGGTTTTCTTTGGCGTCTCACGAATCGCTCTTCTCCATCCATTCACGGCCTCAGCCTTCTGTATCGCCACCTTGCCCTCCAGGGAGTCCCGCTTGAAGGTGCGGAGTCCTTGGCCTACGTTGTCCACACAAAGCACCAGGTCTTTTCATTCTTTAAGTCATGGTCGAAGGTGTGGCATCCTGTGTCAGGAAAAACCAACAGGCCTTCCAATCTCTCAAATCGCCCTCATGTTTCGCAAGCCGGCCATTTGATGCCCAGTTGACCCTCAAAATTCTTTACTCTACCATCTACCTCCGCCTGGACAAGCTTTTCTCCTTGCGGAGGAGCTGCTCGTATAACGCGCCGATCGAGTTGCGAGTGGGCACAGTGTGCACCTGCAGGGTCCGCCTAGCCAGGCTCACCTGGAAGTTCAAGTCCTTGTTCACCTCCACCCTCCTTTTTAACCGCTGCAACCGTCGAATGAGCGCACCTCAACCGAACCACTTCCTGCTGCCCTGCACCGCTGGATCCTCCTGGCTGGTACAGCAACAGCATTGGGAAGACGTCCAGGACCCGCACAGCCTATACTTTCTTTGTTGCAAGTCTCATGCTCCTTCGTGATCATCACTTGTCGTACTAGCGCGTGGTGCAGGAGAGCATCTTCTTCCACCATTGGCTGCTCTTCGACAAGGCCGCCACACCTAGGCTGATCGTTGTGATCCAGTCCTGCAAATCAACCGAGGCAGAGCCGTGCTTTTCACCATCTCCGTCCTTTTTGGGCTTCCGCAGAATGATCTTGTGCAACTGCTGCATCCCTTGCGTGAGCTTTCAGATGACGTCGTATCTCGTCTCCCTGCGCACCACACTTCATCTCGTTCCGCCGCCCCAGTCATCGGCTTCGCCCCTTGACTCTCCGATCGCTTTGCCAGGCCGCTGTCATGTTTCCTGCAGCCTCTCCTGGCCCACCAGCTAGCCTCGGGCACCCCTTGAACCTCAGGTTCTGCCCATTAGTTGCCGGCCCTTTGTAGTGACATGTAGTGCTCTCTAAATGAATACGGTTGGCCAGGTACATCGCATTTACCTGACTTGAAGGATCCCCTGGTGAGTCACCTGTGGGGAATTTTGGGCTGTGATTGCTTCGTCCAAATCCCTTGGACCCTTGGAGTCTCGGGATGCTTTGGCCACCAACCGGACATCTTTTTTTCCAGTCTTTTTAGGGACATTTGGGTTGGTTTTGACAACATATGGCTGGGTTTAAAAACTTCAGCAGCAATGGGAATCTCACTGTATCACAGGGGGCCGCTTTCCACAACCAGGCCTACGGGAATTGTTGTTTGCCATTGAGCCATGCGATGCGGGAGGTACTCCGCAATCTTGAGGCAGGTATTTTTCGGATGCCTTTGCAAGAGGCATGAGTTCGAGTGCAGGCCATGGACGAGATACAGAAGAAGCTTTCTGCGTTGCTGGCCTGTTTGTTCCGGGGAAACCCGAGTTATTTCCCCTTGAAGGGTGGTTTTCAGCATTACGTTTTGGTTGCCCATTCAAGGTGAGCTTCCCTCAGTAGGGGTGATGCTGGGGAAAATCCGAAGGACTCTGTGTTTAGCGAGGGGTTCGGCTCTATTTTCTTTTTGGCCAGCTTAAACATCATCTTTTGGCCCCTTCTGCTTTGAATGTTGAAAGGACCTAAGGAGACACAGAGGCACCGTGGTCAAAGCACCCTTTCGCTTGGGGTTGGTAAACACATGCTATTCATATTCCGTTTGTGTCCGTTTGCCAACTTTTGACTTGGGCGTCCCTTGTTCTCTTTAAAATCAACCAGCCGAAGGGGCACGGAAATGCGCAGGTCATGAGGAATCCGCAAAATAACGGACCAATCACGAAAAGACGAGGCGGGAGCCTTTGCGCAGGTTGGAAGGGCTTCACATTTTAAATAGAAACATCATCTTCCCTTTGAGACTTCAGGGAATCCTGTAGGGGGCCTTTGTTGCCATTGGCCATGTCTTGATTTCTGTTCGGAATCAGCCTTAGGGTGCGCCGAAGGAAAGCACATGCCAACGAATGTTGGCCTTGCTGACCCCCTGGTTGATTCATAGGTGACGCGGGTTCAAACCTGCCCCACAGAACCTGTCCTAAGCAAGAGACAGCAGAATATCGTCTATTTGACCGTCACGAACCCAACAATTTGGATGGGTGAATTCTCAGCCTTGACCGCCTCATTGGCGAACAGCCTTCCCCACCCCGGCCAAAGCTCTCCCAAAGTTTTCCCCAGAACAAACAGGGGCGCAGATCTTTGTAGCCATTCCTTCTTCGTGAGCGAGCTGCACTTCGATGTTTGCGTGTTGTCGCCAGGGGAGCTTCTCCCGCGCGAAGATGCGGGTGAGGCCGGAGCCACGGTGTGTCGGAGCCACGGGAAGGCTAAGAACCCAGGCCTTTCATGGGAAGCCGAAAGGAGGCTGTTTAAACAAAGGGTATTTGAACATGTCTAAACAAAGGGGTTGCTCCCCTGGCTAAAGCTGATGCACCCCCCCAAAAAAAGTCACTGATGCTCACGAATGGGAGCTTCTCAAAATGGTGGACCCCGTTTTGCTTCGAATTTAGCGCGAAACCAAAAGGAAACCGACCACCTGGAGGGGACCCCCCGAATGGGTTGCAATTGCTGCCCGCTATTGGGACAATTGGGGCAGCGATGGGCTTCTCTCAAAAGTGAGCCGCCAGAATTCCGTTGAAAAGCACGTCGTAAACAACACTCTCCCACGTCTCCCTGTTGAACTGGCAAGCATAACTGCATGTTTCTTGCACTGCGAGAAGGTTTGCTTGCATCATGCGTTGCAGCAGTATCGTGAATATTTACTTGCAAGGACGCGTGTGGTGTTGTTGGCCATGGTCATGATTGCGTGGGCATGTTGCGGAGCTAAAACATATGCGCCCTAAACATGACACGTGATCCGGTTTCCCTTGTCCCTGATAGACATATGAAACTGAGAGAAGCTCTTTTGAGGAACTATTTTTTTCTTCAGATTTCTTGATTGGGCCCATGTTGCCGGGAACTCCGGTCTTGAATGATCAACTGGTGGGCCGGACCAGTTCTCAAAATGAACAGTTCTGCAATCCCTCCGGGTCAGATCTGTGTGTGAAAGGGAGGGGTTGCTGAACTTGGACCATATTTACTGTGCTCTTCGTCTGAATTTGTTGTGCCTTGCAGGTAGCTTTTCGGGGTGGTCAGGTTCTTGCTTCGAGATGCTCTGCAATTTCAGCACCAGAGTTCACTGGGCAATGCGAACGTAGAGGAATTCGATTGATCTAGATGGTCTTTTGAATCCAACACGGGCATTCAGCATCTTAAGAAACCATCATTGGCCCTGGCGTGTTCTTTCAGGCGGGTGGGGACCTCGATTGAGGCAATATTGAACGACCTCGCTTTTTTGTTTGCTTTCAAGGAAGAAGTGTTGTGTTTGGCCCACAAGCCCACAGCCCATATTGGGAGCGGTAGCCGCATGTCGCTTTTCGTGACTAGAGTCGGCTGTTGACTTCCGCATATTGTGCATGTTTCGACAGGGCACGTCCACCAACTCCGCCTGCATACACACACACATACACATACACATACGCATACGCATACACATGCACATACACATACACACACGCACACACTCATAGGCAGACATGGCCTTCCACAGTCTCAGGCGCAACGCCCCTTGACAGTGGTTTGTTTGGGAAGTTTCAGGGACACCTCAAAACCCGTCGTTTCCCTCCCCAAAGCCCAAGTCACGTTCGCCTAGCCGACGCCAACTGTGTCGGATAGGATGACCTTCCCCGCCCGACTGCTGGACGACATCCGAAACTTCGTGGAGTCCGACTGTGCGGGGACGCTGGGGGCCCCAGTTCTTTTTGGAGACTCGGTGCCGTTTTTTTTTTGGTTGCTTTAAAGGGAACCCAAAGGGACCAGCATTTTCGGGTTGTCTATAGTCAGACGCCGGGGCTCTAAAAGATGACTAAACCACAAGGGTAGACCTTTGGCCTTCCTTTGGCGAATCCTTTCCTCAGGGGCCATTGTTTACCCTCGGGTCTTTTTGGTCCGAGTTGGGCGCCCTGTGTTGAGACACCCATCTGACCGGATTCCAACTTGGGACTAACCGGATGCCTTTGATTTCCGCTGGAGCGTTCCCCTGTGTCGGCAGGCGCCCGTGCAATCGGCAACTCCAACCCCAAGTCTAATGTTGGGCGTAGAGATTTGTTGCTTCATTGCAGCATGTTTCTCTCCCTATGATGTTGCATGTGTCTGTTCTCTTTAACATGAGCCAGCAACAAAAGCATACAAAAGCAGCAGGGACATGCAGCTTGAGTCTCCATCCAAAATCAAGGGGTCTCTTAGGTTCAGCTTAGGAAGTCTTAGGGAACATGTTGCTACTTTAGAGCCTCCGGCTCAGTCCGCCGACATTGTCCTCTCCCTTTTCTCCTTCTTCCTCTCTCCCTTGTCTCCCTGGTGTGTTCTGTCGTCCTTTCTCCCTCCCTCCGCTCCCCATCCTCCCCATCCCCCGAAGCCACTCTCTCCCCAGTCTCCCTCTCTCGTATGTATGTATGTATGTAGGCATGTATATATGTATGTATGTAATGTATGTATGTATGTAAGTATGTATGCATGTATGTATGTATGTATTTATGTATGTATGTAAGGTAGGTAGGTAGGTAGGTATGTATGTATGTATGTATGTATGTATGTAATGTATGTATGTATGTATGTATGTATGTATGTATGTATGTATGTATGTATGTATGTATGTATGTATGTATGTATGTATGTATGTATGTATGTATGTATGTATGTATGTATGTATGTATGTATGTATGTATGTATGTATGTATGTATGTATGTATGTATGTATGTATGTATGTATGTATGTATGTATGTATGTATGTATGTATGTATGTATGTATGTATGTATGTATGTATGTATGTATGTATGTATGTATGTATGTATGTATGTATGTATGTATGTATGTATGTATGTATGTATGTATGTGTATGTATGTATGTATGTATGTATGTATGTATGTATGTATGTATGTATGTATGTATGTATGTATGTATGTATGTATGTATGTATGTATGTATGTATGTATGTATGTATGTATGTATGTATGTATGTATGTATGTATGTATGTATGTATGTATGTATGTATGTATGTATGTATGTATGTATGTATGTATGTATGTATGTATGTATGTATGTCAATGTATGCAATGTATGCATGTATGTATGTAATGTAATGTAATGTATGTATGTATGTATGTATGTATGTATGTATGTATGTATGTATGCATGTATGTACATGTATGTACATGTCATGTATGTATGTCTTGCACTTCCCCTTGGCTCCCCAGTATTTCCCGCAAAATACACGGTTTTTCTAGCGTTTTGGCAAAGAGGATGTCCAAAAACACAGAGTTTTGCCAGATTTTCGGCAAAAGGATGCAGGAAGCCCAAGCCAGCAAAAAAGCCGGCAGGGGGAATCGAGCCTGGGACCCCTGTTTTGCGACACCGGCTCCCCGAAGACTACGTTTAGTGGAACGTCATCAAATTGCCGCGCGGTACGTGGGGGACCCCCCCCCCCAAAAAACCTACGTAATAGACGTCGGGCGGGGGGGGGGTTAGGGGGGGGGTTATCCTCTATCCTCTCTTAGGTATCCGACACGCCGAGCAATGTCGGCGGATATCCATTCCCTAGCCACCCTAGAAAAAGGATCTAACTACCTTAAGGGGGGGGGGGGGTAGGCGGGGGGGGGGTACAGGCATTCATAATTTTCGATCCCATGGAGACTAGGGGTTGGCTGTTGGACCGGGTCCTTATATTTATGTTATACTTTCTTAAGACGAAGCATGTGGCAAGCCCGACAGGGTTGCCCCAAGGAGTCAGCGCTCATAGCTCATCAAAAGGAACATGCCGGGCACACCCCAGGTTGAACTCCGAGTCTGGACGCCGAAATACACTTGGCTCCAGGACTTTGACTCTAAGGGCGAATCAGCCACATCCAAACTCCGATAGGGTCCCCTAAATTTCCCTCTCAAAAAAAATACCAAGACGCAATTCACCTAAACTGGATGGAGCACATTAATGGTGCGATTGGACCCAAGTGCGGGATTGGAGGCGCAAGGGATCTTTGCAGGTGGGTTGTTCAAAGACAATCCTCAAGCCTGTGCCCAAGGGGTCCCCTTTGCCCCATTCCTGTCATTTTCCTAGAGCGATCATGGATTAGGTTGGACAACCCTCCATTTTGAACAGCCCAGATTGGGTGCATGATCTTAGAGGCAGGTGGTGTCTATTCAAGACGCCCAATAAGGTTCCTCGGACAATGGTCACTCAAACCTCAGACCTTATGCAGGCAGTCCTCGTTTTGGTTGTGCATCTCACCTGGTAATGTGGGTGGCGTTGAATGGATTTCATGCAAACCGCAATGGATGCTTGTTTGCTTGACCGAATCAAGCCTCAGTTGCCGACTTGGGGGCCATGCCGCCCCTCAATTTTGGGCATAGACCTCTCAAAGGGGTCGACCGTTTTGGTGACCCATGAAGATTCCCGGGGCCCCACGGCGAACCATTGCACAATGGCAAGCTACCGGCGTTGCGCCCATAGCAGCTTGTCCCATACAGACACCTCATGGAAACGACAGCACTGCCTGTTGCATGGTTCAAGTTCAAGTGGTGTGCAAGGAAAGATTCTGGTGTGTTCAGTTTCACCCGTCTGACACAAACGAGCCCCAAGCACCTCATGGCTGATTTGGCCATGACTTTGAATGGGGACAACTGGCAAAAGTCTTTGGTGGGCAAACATCGGCGTGCAAATGATGTCAACCGAAGCAACCAAAGGTCTCCAAGCACAACTCATATCCAGATGCTTTTACAGCTTGCTGACGGGCGGAAAGGCTGAAGCCACCAGCTGGCAATATTTCAAGGCGAATGCACAACGATGTCACACGACACCCATACGTTCTGCGAGCCCTCAGCCGCTGTTTTGGTCCCCACAAGAGGCAGCCAAAAGTTTCCGTCACTATGCCCATACAACGCAGTGGCTGACTGTCGGCACCAAAGAGAAGCTCCTGCTTGGATTGACAGCTTTGGGCGTCAACTTCGGCGCAGGGGTTGAAACTGAGTGAAGTTGATGCATTAATAGCTGGGTCCTGAGCAACAGATTGCAACGGGTTTGTCCAAATCCAAAGAGGCCGCACCCTTGGAGCTCTTTTGGCGGCGGGCCGGGGGGGCCGGAAGGGGGGCAGGATGTGGGTGTAAAAAAAAGGTCTTCGTTTCTTTTGAAGGGAGTACCTTTGTGAGTGGTCTTAAAGGGAATCCAAAGGAAACCGGTTTGATAAATTTGAGATAACCCCATGTGTTGTCCGTTCTGCCCCTTAGAACCACCCCAAAGGGGTACCTCTAAACAGACAACCCTTCTGGAATGAGGCCCAGAGGCAACCGGATTCCAAAATCTTAGCGTGGAGCAATCCTACACAAGGGTGAAAGTACATGGCAGAATTCCTTCTGTGTAAGTGAAGGGGATGACTAAGCCATGAGGGAATTGCACAATCTACAAATCTACCAAATGGGTACGGGTGAAAAAAATCAACCACCGGGGGACCGCAGGTTTTCGTCCATGTTTCCAGTTACTAGTGTTCCATTGTGGTACCTATTTCTGACCCGCAGCCGAGTCACAAAGCTCTCCCCCCGTTTCTCTGAGCGCAAGCAGCCCGTCCAACTTGCCCCCGATGCCCAGGATCGAGAAGTCGGAAGTGCAGCCCGTCGCAACGAGACACAGGGTTCAGCGCGTTTAAAGAGCCAGACACAAAGCGGACCCATAGAAAAATAGAGCCCTCGACATTTCAAGCAAGTCCGGAAAAGGACTTGAGGCAATCGTTCCTTTTGAGATCGAATACAAGCTTCCGCTTGATTTGGGTTTCCTTGATTCGTCTTCCACTGACTTAGTATACGAACCTGGAGCTTTATTTGAGAGTTTGATCTAATTCTCTCCTGAATTCAGTATTGCTGAATTTGAGTATTTGTTTGATTTAGTATGGCTGGAGCTTCAATTTGAGATTCCGTTTGATTTGGTAGTGTTGGATGTGGGTTTCCAATTGATCTAGTATGTGTGTATTAAATTGTGGAGCCCACGGGATTTCTCGTACTACCCACTTTGTGTGATTGATTTAGGGCCCATGTGTTCATCAATATTACGTGAATAGTTTTGAGTGGGAAGCACTTCTTTTCTCAGCTTTTAAACGATCGATGATGAAGAAGCTGCAGCTCGAAAGAATTGAGCCACTAGGAATGAGTACAATTGAAATTCATTTGGCTGATACTTGCTTCAATATTGTTTCAGCTGCGAGCCCACTGGATCGATTTTCAAGAAACAGATTTTAGGGGCCTGATATTTCATTTCAGCCAAGGGCCCTAAAGTACTACACCCTTGTGATCGAGTTCGGGCTGCCTTTTAAGCAAGATGGTGTAACCAGATTGGAGTCTGGGAAGCAACTTGAAAGCAACAACATGAAAGCTTGCTGATGAAGCAGCTGTCTCTTGAATAGATTGGGCCACAGAAGTGACTAGACTTGAAACTTCACTTGGCTTGCAGTACTTGTGTTCCAGCATTGACTTGATGTTTGTGTTCGTTGTTGGTTGTTGGTTGTTGACTTTTGACTGTTGGTTGCTGGTTGTTGGTTGTTGGTTGGTGGTTGGTGGTTGTTGGTTGGTGGTTGTTGGTTGTCGGTTGGTGGTTGTTGGTTGTTGTGTTGTTTTGTTTTGCCAATGCTTTCCCAAGACCCAACAGAATCACACTTTAGTCTGGATAGATTTATCAATCTGTCCGGTCTCCGGGGAAAAACTATTGCAGGGCATTAAATAGTGGGATGTTGGCATCAACCTATCCGTGCTTGTTCACTATGGCAGGGCCAAGACGGGGCCACCCAGAAGGTTTTGCTACTTGGGGATTCCTTAATTCTTGTGAACATTAGGCGGAGAATGCGGCAAAACCGAGGGCGGGTGCAGAGAGGGAGGCGGAAGCAAAGACGGAGCCACGGACGGAGGAGAATGCCCCTTTGCGCAAGCGGGTTGTGCTGAAAACTGACACGTTGCCCATACCCGCCGCTCTCGACTGGTCAACTTTTGACACGTAAATAGCAATCCGATATCGACTCGTCTGCCATTGTGATTGCCTTCCCAGTCTTCAGCATAATTTCTACATGGCAGCGTGCTCTCAGACATGCAAATACGACCATACAGCTACTGCATCGCATACGTTCAAGAAACATTTTGATGCATCATTGCGGACGCAGGTGTTGAGCCATTTGTTGGAATTACCAAACTCGCCACCAGGCCGCTGTGAGATGCAGCCATGAATTACACGAGAGGACCCCAAAGATCTTAGCCGGAAATATATTTGTACTATGTGAAAACGAACCCTCGGCGAAATGATGTCCACGAAAGGGTCTGGGTAAGGGTCCCCAATATGCGCATTTATGTATCAGCCTGTATTTGACCATTTGTTGCACAGGCCGGACGAATTCTATCGGAAGTCTTAAGAGAGTCCCAGGACCAGTCCGTGGCAAACGCGCCTGCCGCGGCGGCACCGCGCCTTGCTTCAAATGATTCTCCGGGCCTGTTTCGGCCAGGACAGCTGGCAAGTGTAATGTAGAGGATCATGACTGGACTTGGTTTGAAGTACTCCACAACTCCGTTCCAATCATGTAGGCTCTTGCAGCACTCTTTGCGGCAAACTTTCACGGACATAAATTATAGCGCCATGGTCCATGGTCATAATGCTATCCACGGGTCACGCATTTGATGTTCCCGATATGACCGAATGTTCAAAATCAGACTGGTTTTGAAGACGGTGCGTGGAAGATTCAGCTGCGCAGCGGATTGATACTTTTCGCTGTGCTATTCTCGTCATACGCAAGCCTTGATGCGGCAATTAAATTGGTGGGAGGTGACTGTTTGGTCCGCACTCAAGTGGTTTGCCCAAAATCAAGCTCCTTTCTCGGACCCAATCCGATGTTATAGTGTGCCGCTTTCAAATTGTCAAAGGCACCGACAAGCAACTTTTTGTCAACATATCTGTCAAGTTTTGCCGCCCGCTCGATTGAACCGAAAAAGGCAACTCTGTCACCAACTGACCAGTGAGAGTGTTTTGCTTTTGACCGAGGGGGGGGGGTCAACTCTAAGTGCATGGCCTTTCTAAGATTTGGGACCTGCCGTGCTTTTTTAGTAATCGAGGGTGTTCCCTGCCGCACGTTTCGGCCGGCGTTTCGACTGGCGTTTCTGCCAAAGCCAAGGACGCTGAGGAGTTTGATCTTTGTGTGCGACCCCAGCCACTACAGAGAGCTGGACAGACTTGCCACCAAGACCTATGCCGGCGAGAGTGTGGCGCTGCATGTGGTGACCCAGAATGCTCCCCGGGCACGAAAAGTAAATGTATAAAGGGACACGGAACTTTTCTTTGCGTCTAAACAACACATTACATCTCATGCAGGCCCTCTCTTCTGGAGTCCATATTCACATGGGCCACTAGAATTTGGGAAACACATTGGATAGTGTTGAAAGAAAAACGGAAGCAAGCCAACCAGTTGAAGGGGGTATGTTTTGAAGCACCCACGTTGTTTCCTCCAACGAACCACCAAAAGGGGGCTTGCAACAAAGCCCCCACCCAATCCCGAATTCAGTGCGAAGCCTTCGCATCTATAAACCCCTCTTGTGTAGGTTGAAGTTAAAGTTCAGCCCATCGAGGCTTGAATTACCCGCAAATTGTAGCTTGATCATCGTTCACGTAAGGGAGAGCATCTCTCAACTACGAGAAGCCGGGCAACAAAATCCTGCTTGTGCAAAATCTGGTGTGCAAAACACACGGGCCAACCTTTAAGATCTAACCCATGGCCTTTGTCGCAGCCTTTAGTAACTGTTTTCTGGACATTGGCATTCAAAGTTACCGGTCCGGGGTTCATTTGGGAGAATAGAAAAGATGGCACCCAATGCTCGCCACTCGGGGGTGGGGGGAGGAGACAAGACCCATCTGAACTCGCGTAGGAGCAAGTCGCTGTTGCAGTGACTTCGACCATCGATGGCGCAAGACGGGTCGCCGTTGGTCCGTATCAAGCCATGTGCATAGTTCCGTGCCTACCCGAGCGGACGAAGCGAGCTTTGAGTCTATCAAGAATCCTTTCGGCTCCTTGATTGAGGGCTGTTCGCTCAATATCCACACATCCCCAGCTCTCAGTGTCCCACATCTAGCCATGCAACATCAAGATATTTAATGTTCCGAACAGTTGCGTATGAGATGAGGAAATTCTGATGAAGATCAAACACGGCCATCTCAAATGCAGGACGAAGATGATGCCTAACCACTCACACAGATCACTTAGTTGACGTGAATGCGCCAAGCCGAGTGTGTTTGCACAGATAGGTGACCCTAAAAACGAGTGGATTCCTTTGAGTTTCCATTTGCTGCATTAAGGCAATTAATTGCAAGGAAAGCCTCAGCCCTTGAGTTACGAAGGAGTTTGGCCGCTTTTGTAGTTCTTCCCCATTTTGGATACAGCCACATTAAATTGGAAATCCACACCTCCACTTGGACCAGGCAATCTCCAGTGGCGCCTTCTCGTGTCCAAGGGGCTTTCTTCATCCAAAAGATCCACGAGGTGATTCCTTCATCTTGCCGTTTTTTTCCATTTTCAGGATTACCCCTTTCCACGAAACAAGTTCAAGATCGACAGACAGCAACTACATGGAGCCCGTTGAGCCGAAAGCCAAGAGTACATCGTGCGGCCGGTGTGCGACCACGGCGCAGGTTCACCAGAACTTGTTCGTTCTCAGGGAGTCAGGTTTTTGGAATCCCAAAAAAAAACATGAAAAGGAACCACAAGTTGGATGGTTCAGTTTTCCAGTCATTCCCTCCCCTGAGAACCAGCAACTTAAGCTGTTTTGTTTGAGGCTAAAGTCAGATTTTGCAGGTTCCCGGTGGAAAATCATGTCCAATACATGTATATATATATATATATTATATATATATAAGCTATTATATAGACATGATTTGAAGTTGGTGCCACTGCCTCGTGTGGTTCAAACTTCCATGTTAGTCCAGCCTGCGCAAGGCCAATCCTCGGGCTAGGCGTAGTTGTTTCTCAAAATGGGTTGGTACTGAAAAGGAAGCCAAAAGAAACCGTTGCCCAGAAACACCCCCGTGGCCCAGGTGGTGTCAGCCACACTGCCGACAGGACACAGTTGCCAGCCCTCCGCTTTGACTTCGATGCATTGTTTCCAGCTCTGTCGTTGAACCAGGGGTTCCGTAGTCATCATGTTAAGCAGGTACCGCACCAAATTGTGCAATCAAATGGGAATAGCACGTGAACGCCTTTGGGATTGTGAATGGAACGCACATGTTGGCTGTTGCGGCCGAGTCACAGCTACTGTTAAGAGCGTATTTGGACGGGGGAAGTTCTCACCTCTTACCTTTCATTTCTGTTCAAGCCTTGGCCAAGAGATCTGACAGAGAGAAATAGAGTATTACCCCACACATGCATGCATTATCCACACTCGCATCACTCACTCATTCGCCTCTCTCTCTCTCTCTCTCTCTCTCTCTCTTTTGGTTACGCTTTTGGATCTGAGCGAGAAGGTCATTAGTTATCAGCATTGCTTATTTAGCAAGCACTATAATATGAGTCAGCTTCAAAATTACCGTCATTTACTTTATGTAAGAGTGTGTCATGCACGTGTTGTTTTCTTCGAACAAAAACAGAAACGGGACGTTCAAAAAACGACACCCCAATCTGAGGAAGACAACACTGGAAAACGTGAATGCACCACAGACTAGTAGTTTTGACGCTGACTCCTATCATTATCTCTTTCGGCATCTCTATTTCTCTGTACCGCGATGAGAAAGGAATCTATTGTAAATAATATCTCCATTGCTGGCTGTTTTTGTTCATGGGTGAGCGGTCAGGATGAGAATGACGAGAGCTTCGCTGATTCTTTGCCCAGCCATTTGACCTCTGATAAGCCCCATGTCATTGGCGAAGAATTCCATCGAAGAAGATCACCTGGTCACAAAGGTAATTCTAAAGGAACATATAAACAAGGAAAGGGAAAGAGCGGGATGGGTGGAGAAGAGCATGGGAGGTGAAAAAAATCCAAATCCTAGAGTTGTGCCACATAATAATCTACCAACTCTTCACAACAGAAACAATTAGTGACCGAATGAATATGTGCTTCTGCCCAATGCTGCATTTCTTCTCCATCTTGTCTCTACAGAGTGGCCATGGAGAAGCTAGAGGTACGAATGGAGTCATTCCACTCGTTCACATTACACGCAGAAGGAGATGGGGGTGGCTCTGGAAAGGAGAACGGAATTCACATGCCTTCAGCCTCTTATAAAATCCCATATGGATGTTTTTGTTAATTTTTAAGGTCTGGATCTGTTTGTGTACTTGGCATCTTGTTGTTTAGGTTGTTGATGGACGAGGGACTGACTGAGGCAAGGGGTGGGTCTGGATTTCAATTGATTGTTCGTTGTTTTCTTTCTTCAGAGTGAGACAATACCAGAGATTCACACTACCGCAAAAGGTGCACAGCGGGCAAAATTGGGATTCGTGGAGAAAGAAACATGGACACAATCAAATATAGAGGAATGAAAAGCAAGATCCCAGAACTTCGTTCCATTCCGCAATATGTTGCTAACAATGTTATCTGACTATCTTACTTTTTCATGACTTCTTCGTCGTCTTCTTTCGTCAACTCACGAACTCTTTGCACTCAACGGCGCGCCCCCACGGAAGCGTACCTTGCCTGCCTGCCTGCCTGCCTGCCCGCCCGCCTGCCTGCTACCTCCTTGGTGCTGGAGCGGGATTGAACTTGACAAATCCCATCTGATTATTAAAAAAAAGCGGAATTTTTCGAGGAATCTCCGGGAGCACCCCAGCATCTGGGGTACCATGCCGGGTCAGGAGGCGAGGGCTATGCGCCCAAGGGCTCCTCGATCCAAGCGGCGCCCAAAGTGGAAGCGAAGAAAGGCGACGGGAGACGTATGGAGCCAAAACAACACACACACACACAAACAGGGACCCCTGAAAACCGGCTTCGCGCGGAACGGAACCGCTCCACCTGCTCTTCAAGCTGGCGCTGTTGCTCCTCCGAAACTTTGGAGCATCCAAAGTCCCCAGTGATTTCTCGTGCGTATCTGCTTTAATGAGGACTCTAGGAATAAGCATGGATCATTTCCCAAGGGTGCCAATGGTCAGTTGCAAGCATGATCTCCGCTGATCCCTTTTGTCAGACAAGTTCAACCGACAACTGGAGACGGTTCAGAAGAAGTTGCATGATTGCATGCTTCTGGAAAGTGGGATTTTTGAGGTTGCCACTTTCTGCATCCCACTTGGGTATCGCATGATCATGACCCTCCCTTCAACACTTTGGGTCCCAATAGGGGACCCAGTTGGTTGCTTCACTCTCTGCCTTGGGTTCGCAGTCTGGTTCAAAGGCTGTCACATGGACAATGAGACAATCAGGTTTTGCTGAACTCTGTGTTACTTTCGTGCATAGACGGCGCCCCCGGGTGTTGTTGCAGGGAACTTGGGGTTGCCTTCGCCGTCTTGTTATCAGGGTGCACTTGGGGAACATTGGCGAGCCAAAGCTGTTGGAACTGAAGGGACCGACTTGGAAGGGATTCCGACACTGGCAGGGTGCCTTTTCAGCCAAAAGAGGATCAACAGGTGATCCCTGCTTTGGGCAATTTGCTGCAGGAGGTTCTCCCAACGAATGCTGTAGATATCTGCGAAGGCTGAGAAGGTACCTGGATCCGATAGCATGCAATATTAAATGTGGGCGGCTGGGGGGGGGGGGGAAAGGAATCCAAGTCAGAATTCCAATGGTCCTTGCGGAACACTGTGCCATGGTCAACCCACGTATTCACGCGAGGGAATTTGGACCACTAACGCGGCTTCGAGACGGGAACCATGGCCCACCTTGGCATGCACGATCCCGACTGCAGAGTCGCACACCAGTGTGGCAATTTTAGGGACCCCTGTTTCGCTGATGGCAATTTGGGAATTTGGCCAAGATGGACCCCGAGTGCATGGGGTGATGTAAGAAATTCCCTTGTTTCCAGGGTGCCCCTTTTTTCAATTCGGCTGCTAAGGGGAATCAATGAGGAAAGCACACTTTAAATATGGTTGGACCCCTTTGAGTTTGCTTACCCTCGAACGACTGGTTTGACACCTTGCTGCAAGGCGGGGCGCGCTGCTCCTCCTGCGATGCTGCGTTTGACGACCCGGCGGAGTACCGGGGACACTGCCGCTCCGAGTGGCACAACTTCAACCTGAAGCGGTGCCTTCGCCACGTCCGGGTGCAGTGGGTTGGACGTGCCGGAGTCGCCCACGCGCCCCAACCATTTCCCTTGCCAAAGCGAATGTATAGCGAATGTATGGGGTGCAGAACACGCCAAAAGTCCAGCCGATTTCTTCGGCAACCCCTTTCCTTTCACACATTTGCCCAATCAGCAGAGTGCACTGAAAGCCCATGATGGCCGTTGTTTGCAAGCGGAATCACTTGGTGATTCGCTGGTCGAGGTGAATATGTTCATGAAAGGTTGGCTGGGACGACGTGGGTTCTTACAGACTCTGTCAAGTTCCACGTTTCTGTACGCGTAGCCTCGATACAAGCAGCATATGCCGACTGAATATCCATAAACCTGAAGAGCGATTGTGTACTTGGTGTCAACCGGTGACCCAGTTGGATAGAGTCGTATGGAGGAGGCAAGCTTGGGCGCATTCGATCATGGCCGGCGAGAAAGCACGTTGGTTTATTTAGTATTGGGCTGGTTTGGCATGAGGTCAGCCAGATCGGGGTGAATCGTTGTTTTCCTCATAGTTTTTGCGCGGAACGCAACGCATTGGAACCCGTGGGAGGATGCATCTCACTTTGCGAAAGCCCGGTGGCCCATTCGGCTTGATGACCTCGCAGTAGCATCTGTACCTCCCGACGAACGGAGTGGCCGTGGAACGATGTAGTCGCAGGGTCAAGATCCGGTTTGACCTGGATCTTCCATTGTTATGTAAATTTCTGCCCCTTCTGGATTTCCGTCACGTTTCCTAAATTGTTGCTCGTTTCGGGAAAATCTGCTCGATCAGAGTTGGCGCAACGCTGGCCTGATAGTTGGACAAGCGGCCAAACTCAAAGAACACATGCAAAAGCAGCAGGGAGATTGCAGGGTAAGGCTCGGGCCTGAACCAATGCGCAGCACCCGGGTCATTTGTTTTGTTTGGTTTCCATCTTCTTTTCGGCGGCCTTGGTTGGGCACACGGCCTGCAAATTTAGAACCGCTCGCTTGGCAATGATTCTTGCAGAATTCTGGCATTGCGCAGCAGCCAACAGGCCAAACTCAACAAACTTGCGCAACAGCTGTTTCACCGAGGAAGCAATCGTACCTGAAAATGGGATTTGCGCTCGGTTGCTGCTTTTTGCGCTCGGGTTGCGGCGATTTGCGCTCGTTTTGCGGCCGTTTCCGCGCGCGCGTTTTCCTCCAAAGCTCACCGAATCGTGTGTGTCATTGACCAAGGACAGGTTGTGCAAATTCATTGATATCAGGCCCTGGAAACAGGCACCCCAATAATGGATCAAGTCATGCAGCCAAAGGCAGCTGGAATTTAATGTTGATTCAAGGGTCTCCACTAAGTTTAAGAGCTCCCAGCATGATCTCTTCAAACTGGTATCATGCCCTCTATCCGGGTACATGTACTTAGCGTTTTGCCAAGCAGCACACTTGGCCAGCTCCCAGCTACATATGCCGGGAAGTTAAATTAGTACGTTTATTAGGATTTCCGCTCGAATCGCTCGAATTGGACAAAAACATTACGAACCCACAAAAACAATGACAACAACCTAAAGGTACAAGAATTTATGTAACGATGGAAGCTCCAGGGAAGAGAGCCTTTTGTCAGATGTTGCTGATTATTGGCAAGACCTGAAAGAGGGTTTTGCACCCGCATCGTGAGTGGGCCATATGCCGAGATAGCCCTGAACCAAACTTCAAATCAGTTTTATCCAACACCCCTAGCAAAGGGCAATCCTGACATCGACAAGAGTTCCCACAGAGTTAAACTGGAAGCACACAAGTCAAATTCAAGCACTTTGGCAGTGAAGCACCAGGACAAGCATGTGGGGCACATGGGTTATCATGGGTTGTTTTCTTGTTCCATGTCGGGTTTGTCGTTCAGTCGCTGGGGCCTTTCTACCCTCCGACCTTCAGCTCAGGAAAGTGAAAGGCCTGCCGCCCTTGACGCAGGCAAATGGTCCGATCCATCCGGGTACCGTTGATCCGTGATTGGCATTCACCGTTTCCAAGGAACTGACAAAATGGCGAGCCCGTTTAGAGCACCCCACTTGGAGCGCAAAGGGATGTCCCAAACGGCCATTGCAGAATCGTGGCTGGAAGCTGTCAGGAGGAATTCGAAGAACTCGGCCTGGACATGCGCGAAGGCTTTCGGGGCGAGTGAGTGAGATGTGCGGGAAGTGCAAACCCTGGCCGCGACAGGCGGGGCGGGGGGGCCCTGAGAGGGGTCCATTACTCCCAAGGAGCTGTTGGAGAAGCAATGGAGAATTCGCCATAGGAGAGTGTCCTGGGTTTTCACGCTAGCAAGGTCAAGATTCACATGTGTCCCCTTCCCTTCGGACCTTCATAGATGGCCTTCGTTTCACAACTCCTGATTTTGATGGATCAATGATCAATCAACATAGGTGGCCTTAGCTTCATGCGTAATGTCGGATCAACAACCGCCTAGTTGATTGGAGGGTGTTGCCAGTGCAATTCACTTGCGGAATTCTTGCTTCACATGTCAATGGATGGGTTTAGGCTTGGGTTTGGGTTGCTTTAGGTGGTCCTCTGCTCCACTTTCCTGAAGTAATCGAGGCTGTTTGGCTGCTTCCCATAGGCAAATCAAACAGATCCATTATAGCAACTCTGTGACTCTATGGTCTCATTCACCTCAAACCTTGAGACCACTTTAGTGAAACGCTGTAAAACTTCCACGCAGGTGCTATAGCCCTCTGGACAATCCCTACATATTGGTGCCATTGGGTCTGTGGCGGGGGCGTGTGTGTAACGCCCCGGGTTTTAAAGACGAACGGGGCATGTGTGTTCCCGCCAGATTTCGGCTTTCAGTGTCAATGAGTGCAGGACACTCCTCCGAGAGAGTGTGCCTGTGTGATTTGTGTCGGTCTCAGGCGGGCGGCGACCGACATTTGCTGCTAGTCCAGAGGTTTTTACTTCTGGACGGCGGCATTGGACAAGGCCAGGGATCCTTCAAGGAGCTGTGGAGCACTGAGGCCCTACGAGTCAAGGAGCTTAGGGGTCAGCCCCCTAAGAACAGAGGAGAGATCGAACGGGAGAAGAAGGGCGTGACATCGGCGAGCAGAGGACTAAACGGGCGAGGTGGAAAGTGGAGAAGAGGATGGAAAGGAGACTGGGAGGAGCGAGGTAGCAGGTCTCCCTCCCACAGCCCGGGTGGCTACATCCCGGACTTTTCTGAGAGGCGGGGGAGGTGGGTGGAGATGGTAGGGGGTGTGATAGGGGAAATAACCTCGGTAAAAGGGCTAATCTTTTGCCAAAGCTAAGGCGACTCAGCAAGTCGCTGGTGCGAGGACCCAAGAGAAAATCCTGGAAAGGGCTGGGACGGAAGCGTGATGGACTGTCTGGCAGGGGCCAAGCCGGCCTTGCTGCTCGGCCCTAAAGCGCGAGAAAGCCGAGCTCCGGATGATTGGAGGCGTCTGTCAAGGCGGTGCCCGCCCGGCGACTGATTTGGAGAGACCTCTGGTGCAATTGGCCAACACCAGGCCTCGGCCAACGTGCAGTTCTGGCGGCTGGAGTCATCGCACGTGGATTCGCACCCACTCAGCCCCAATCCTATTCGACCATCGGCAAAGGCAGAGTCTGGTGACACGCGCTCACTTCCGATCGGCCCATCTGATTCCGATGATGGCCTACGACCCTTCGATCCAGGACGGTGTTCAAGACAAGACCTATCCAAGATGGCGCCTACGCAGGCTCCTACTTCCTCCCTCCACTTGTCTGGCCCCCCCCCCCACGCTCCTGGTGCCCCGAGCCCAGATGACAGGGAAGATCGGGCGCTTTCTCAACCACAGTTGGGTCCCATACCAGTCTAGAGGGATTGCAAAAAAATGGCACTCACACACACAAGACAATTGATGGTGAGCGTGGGATGTTCAGTGCTTGGGTTCTGGCTTGACATGTCCGCAGTTGCTGACATTTGAGACTGTGTTTTTTGAGGGACATCGCAGGTTGCCTTTGGGATGGATCCTCCCAAGCCGGCTCAGTCAAGACGGCCTTCCCGGAATGCATCCCACTTCCGGTCTGGCTGCCCTGTTGATCGCGGTACTGCGGCGCTTTTCATGTCTAACGAGTTTCCGGTGGTAAATACAAGCTTTGACATTCTGGCGATGTGTTTGGCAAATAAACCCTGTACGATGATTTGGCCACCCTGGAAGGACCAGCGAAGCCTCTGGTGAAAGGCGCAGGGCCGAAGTTGGTTGGTAGAAACCCGCACGAAATCCAATCACGTTTAAGGCCCCATTTTAGGAAACGCTCATGCGCTGCTTGGTGGCTTGGAAACTGGACAGGGGTGGTAGCAGCAAGCCTTCGCGTCCCGATGTACAAAGAGGACTTGCTGGCACAGTGGAGAGAAACTGGGGGGAGGAACTCCCTTAAAGATACGCATATGGTTAAACATAAATCCATCCTTCCTTTTTAAGTAATGACGTCATCACTCGAATCGCTTGAAAATCACTCCCAAATTCAGCCAATCGCAGTTCCCCTTTGATCCTGTGGTTTCGAATGGTTGATGCCAACTTCTTCCAGATTCTCTGAGGACACAACACCCCCGTGGCTTTCACAAGGAAACCAAAGGTGTCTTCCAGTCAGCCGCCACGCATTGTACAGGGCTCCTGGAGGAAAAACAAGTCATTCGGCGAGCTCGGCGCTTCGCGAGGACGGGCTCCTGCAACGCCTTTCCTGGGTGTCCTCCGAAAGATATGTTCATTTTATAGAGTAGACTAACTATGGAACAGAGGCAGACAATTTGATTTTCGGTGTGCCCCTTTTGTTGCCAAAGAAAGCCTTCCGAGGCCCCCTTGGGCCATACTAAGCTCCATTGTTCCGAGGGGGTGCTTGGGTTCCATGCTTGACATAGCGTGCTCTGACATTTGAATGGTTGAAGCTCTGTTTGGCTTGGGGTAGGACCATGCCCAGCCCTCTGTGTTTTGTTGAGGGTACCCTTTTTGGCCAACTTTAAAAGGGCCAATGTTCAAGGTTAAGGGCATAGCCCCAAACGTCAAGAAGCAAACTACCGCTTGGACATGCCACCCCTTGCCCTTTTGCCAGGCCTGGTCCACCGTGGGGCTGACCTTGGCGCCGCAGGCCGCTTTCAGCAGCCAACGCGGCCTTTGTGTCCCAAAGCCGCAAATCTTTTACACAACCTGAGAAACATTTTGCGAAGGCCCATGAAAGGGGGCATCGCGTCTTTTGGCAAGGGTGGCGCACATCCATTTGTACTCTCAGACTGCCGATCCGATGCCTTCGCTACGAGGTCCAATGAGCAGGTTCGGTTCATACCAAAAGGAACGCATCATCAGAGCATGTGCCATCTGGTGGTGTTTTAGCCAATTTGTTGAAGCTTGGGTGTTTCCCTTTAAAGATGTGTCGGTTTCAAAACATTCTGGCTGCCCTTACTTGGTGGTTTGGCTTGGTGGTTTGAACCCCTGGTTCTCGAAGGGGAATGGAACCTCCGCCAATTAGAAGGAAGCTTTTCCACACATGACTTGCCAACCTGGGACCAAGAAGCCGACCCCTTTGCGAAGAACTCTGGGTTAAAGCTGCGGAGAGAGAAAACAGACAACCATCCTGACTAAACTCGCTTCAAAACGGCTCGGTCTTTTACAGCCTGCGCATCAAGGGTTACCAGGCGGTTTGGGTCGTGCTTTGTTTTGCAGGCCTCCACCATTCCGTGCGAACCGATGATTTTTTGCTTGTGCTTGGTCCTTCACAGCAATCTTAACCGAGCAAAAAAACAGCCAATGTTTCCAGACTTGCCCCTTGCTGCAGCTTTTACGCAATTCAATTTCATTGCCCGAGCAAACCTAGCGGCCGCTCCGTTGGCTCTTTCAAGGCATGAACCATGGGTTGTTTTCCATGGGAGTGTTTTATCCAAACAGTTTAAATAGGTCCCAACAGGCCTCTGCCAGGTGAGGCGGAGCCTTTGCGAGTTGGGGCCCTCGTGCGCCCCGAGAAGCTCACAGGGTCGCACAGGGTAAGGCGATGCGCTTTAGAAGGAAGCCAGTTAATTGCATTTCAAACTTAGGAAGCAAGTATGCACACACACACACGTGTATATGCATGGACATGACATTGCGTTCCATTCCATGACATCTGGGCAAATTAAAACAAGCTCGGCCGAGGTACGAGGTAAATAAAATAATTTAGCGAGGCATGGCCCGAGGTAAAATGCAGAAATGAGCCAGTTGGGGGAGAACTGCGGGTGTGTGTGAGAGCAATCGGCAAAGACTGCCCGAAACACTCCGCAATTTCACCCTGGCTCGTTTCAGGCAGCCTTTGCCGGGCGGGTCGTTTTTCCGAAGCTGCTGCGACTTCTTGCTTCAATCCAACCACGCCTCTCGCGGGCAGGCTGCCCAGAATGCGCCGGGATCACATTCCAGAGTCTTTGACGTGAAGAGCAGCAGCAGCAGCAGCAGCAGCAGCAGCAGCAGCAGCAGCAGCAGCAGCAGCAGCAGTAGCAGTCCCACGGACAAAAAAGCAAGCAACATGCGGACGCAGGACGCACGGGTGTGCGTGCCACTACACCAGGTCACCCTGCTACAAAGGAGTGAACTAGTATAGGATCATAGGGTAACACAACGCGCAAGAAGGCATGTAAGTGCTCGGCAAAGACTGCCCGAAGCACTCCGGAATTTATTCCGGCTCGTTTTGGGCAGTCTTTAAACCGGGCGGGTCGCCCAGATCAGCCCGTGTACCCAAAACTACCTGCATGCTGCGCGGGTGTCATGCGGCAGCTCACCTTAAAAAGCTGGAAATAAGCTTGCGAGAAAAAACAAAGAAAACACGAAGAGAGCTCGGCAAAGACTGCCCGAAACACTCCGCAATTTCACCCTGGCTCGTTTCAGGCAGTCTTTGCCGGGCGGGTCATTTTTCCGAAGCTGCTGCGAATGCTTGCTTCAATCCAACCAAGCCTCTCGTGGGCAGGCAGGCGGCGGGGATCGCGTTCCAGAGTGTTTTCGGCAGTCTTTCGTCACGTGAGAGCAGCAGCAGCGGCAGCAGCAGTCCCACGACGCAAAAAGCAGGGAAAACCAGTGCGGACAGACCATGACTCCGGCTCGGTTCTTGCAGTCTTTGCCGGGTGGGTCATCTTTCAATAGTAGCAGGAGCAGCAGCAAGTCCGCAGCACAAACAAACCAGCAAGATCAGCCCGACCACCTGCATGCTTCACGAGTGTGATGCCACAGCAGATCGCTTCAAAGACTTTGCCGGGTGGGTTGTCTTTCCGAAGCTTCTGCTGCCAATGCTCGTTTCATCCAACGCGAAAGAAAGCGCGGGATGACATTCCGGAGTGTTTCGGGCAGTCTACGGGTGTGCTACCACAACGCCAGCTTGCCTTGATAGCAAAGCTTGCACTGAGATTATCAGATTACCATGAAGCAACGAAGTGCTGGGCTGGGCTTAGCAAAGACTGCCCGAAAGACTCCGGATTTTCACCTCGGCGCGTTTCGGGCAGTCTTTGCCGGGCGGAAGGTTCCAAAGCAGCAAGCTGCGACGCTCAAAGCCAGCAAGCAAAACCTGCTGGTCCTCCCCTCAAGGTGCGCAGCGTGACGCTTTAGGACTTCTTGTGCAGCATCCCGTTGTGTGTTCCGCATTGGCTTGGACCAAGTTGCTCTGTGTGCAAGTTGCCCTCGCTGCGCAGCACGAGGGTTCGAGGCATACTTATTTCCAGATATCGATGTAACGAGGCGAGGTGCTATGTCAGTTTAGTAAAATCACAACCGAGGTGACGAGGTGAGGAATATTGTAAATTGTCCAGACGACATCATCGCACCACGCCACGTCGCGCCCCCACACAGCACACTACCATACCATGCGTTACCATACCATCCATGCCACACCATATCACGCCATACCGTCAGGACCTATGTATGTATGGACGTGAACACACGCACACACACACACACGTACACACATACACACCTATATGCTTGCATATCTGCACACACATACACAAATACACACGTACACACACACACACACATACACACATGCACACACGCACACATATACGCATGCACTTATGCACACATACAAACACACACACACACACGCACACACACACACATGCACGTACACACACACACACATGACAGACAGAGTAGACAGGCAGGCAGACCGACAGACAGCCACCCAACCAGACAGACAGACAGAGAAAGACAGACAGACAGACAGATAGACAGACAGACAACAGAGAGACAGACGAACGGATGCACCTACGAACATACACACATACGCACATACGCGCATGAACACATGCACACATGCACACATGCACACATGCACACATGCACACACGCACACATGCACACATGCACACATGCACACGCACACACAGGCACACGCACAACCACACCCCAGCCAGACCGAGAGAGAGAGAGAGAGAGACAGAGAGGAAGACAGAGAGAGCGAGAGAGACAGACAGACAGAGACAGACCGACAGAAGCAGACGGGAACACACACAGACAGATGCACAGACGCACGTGCGCACATACACACATGCACACACGCACGTGCACGTAGACGCACAAAGAAACACATCGTACATAGCGTGCGCGCCGTGCGCACCACACATGCCTGCACACCGTAGTTTACACTCCTACACGCGTGCGCGCGCAGAGACACACGTACACAAACATGCACACACATACGTACATGCAGACAGACGTACGTATATACAGACAGACACGGAGACAGACAGACAGATAGACAGAAAGACAGAGACAGACTGACAGACACACATACATACATACATACATATGCACATACACACAGAGATATGCATACACACACACATACACACACATACACACACATACACACATACACACATACACACATACACACATACCCACGTACACACGTACACAGAGCTACAAGTACAGATGCACGTACACATATATACACACATGCATACACACACACACACGTATACATACAGACATACAGGCATACGTACATAAATGCCTACATACACGCATACTTACACTCATAGACATACATGAACACATACGTGTTTTACTTATTCATTCATATGCTCATTCGTTCATTCGGTCATCCGTCCATTTGTTCACTCGTTAATTCAGTCGTGCATGCATTCATTCATTGACCCATCGGTTGCTTCATTCGTTCATTCACTCATTCATTCATTCATTCATTCATTCATTCATTCATTCATTCATTCATTCATTCGTTCCTTCATTCATTCGTTCATTCATTCGTTCGTTCGTTCGTTCATTCATTCATTTCATTTCGTTTCATTTCATTTCATTTCATTTCATTTCATTTTCATTTCATTTTCATTTCATTTCATTTTCATTTCATTTCATTTCATTTCATTCCATTCAATTCCATTCCATTCCATTCCTTTCCTTTCCTTTCCTCCATTCATTCATTCATTCATTGATTGATTCATTCATTCATGCATTCATTCATTCATTCATTCATTCATTCATTCATTCATTCATTCATTCATTCATTCATCCATTCATTCATTCATTCATTCATTCATACATACTTACATTCATACTTACATACATACAGACATGCATACATACAGCATGTACGTGCGTACATACATGCATTCAAGTATACATATTTTTGCGGCCAGCATTCTATGGCTTGTCTTTGGTCATTCAACAGCAGACGGCGCTCTTATTCACACTTCCATCCACTTGCAATGCGAGACATTTAAAGCGTCGCAAGGACTGAGGCAATTTGGCCTCTCAAGAGGGCATGCTTCTGCAGTCGGCACGCATCGAGAGCGCTTTGCGTGCCCGGCTGCGGTTCACAATTGCAAGTGCCTTGTTTTCTCAGAAGTGTTGAGCCTCCCCAAGTGCCCCACATACTGATGCATTTCGGGTGGCTTTTTCCGCATGTAGTGCGTTTCCCAATTTGAGGGGGAACCCATTGCGGGGTTGTTGAAAAGGAAAACCCAGAGGAGATTAGCCATCGTGTAGGGTCTCCGATTTTGGGACAACCCACAGATCCAAAGAGGCTTAGCAGACTCTTGCTTGTCGCGCAGTCATGTGAGCCACAATCCAAACTCGGGTAGATGAAAGTTAGTAAGAAGGTAGGTGCGGCCGTACTTTTATATCTTTGTACAGTACATAAGTAGACCATTTTAATACCGGATTGTGATGACATATGACTCGTGTGATTGCAAAGAACTGAGCATTTGTATCCCCCTGCAGCTCGTCACAGAACGTGAGCGGGTTTTTCAAGGAAGTGACCAGACTGTTCGCGTGAAAGACGTGTACTCTCTTTGCGCAAGCGCAAAAGATGCACGCCATTTTGCTGCTGCCATTTGAGGGGTGTTTTCCATTTTTTGAAATAGGTCGGCGCCAATGTTTCAAATTGCCGAGATGGAGTTCCAGCAGGTGGGTGGCAGGTGCAAGCTAGTATGTGCGCATGACTTCACCAGCTTGTCGCATGAGCAGGCGGGTGTGTCGTAAACAAAAACCCTTTTGGCTGGTTTGAAAGGGACGCCGGTTTGAAGGTATGTGCTAGGTGCTCTGAAGGGAAACTAAAGGACACCATCCATTCCAGGGTCGTCTAGTTTGGAAACAACCTCAGTTTTTTTGTGTATATATATAAATATGCATTATATATATATATATATATATTTGGCTCTACGTATTTGTTGAAAGCCGCCGTCCATTTGGGGGATTCTCGGATTTTAAGCCATGCTTGGGAGTGGCCTAAGGGAACCAAACGAAACAGGCACCACATTTTGGTTGGTGTGTGTTCCGCACATTTGGGCCAACTCTGTTAATTCTTTGAACGCTGAGTAGACCATTTTACCAGCTTTTGATTTTGACTCATCTGCTTTTCACCATTTCGGGATTCCCAAATGGGTGTTGATTACGCAGGTGAAGCTGGCAGAAGCTCACCGCCACATCAAGTCACTGAAGTCGCAGAGCAAAAGGCACCAGGAGGACTTGC